CAGCCAATGAGGTCAATCAGTGAACCCTGAATCCCTGGGAGGAGGAAGGGGGGGGGGATATAATCAGGTCCCTCAGGGTCAATACCGAGTACTAGCAGGTGGTGGGGGGTCATACCTGGCCTCTCAGAGGTCAATACTGTGCAGCACCAGCCTTACCTTACCCTCATCATAACCTGTACTATCCCCTCTCGAGTGTCAAATGATATATTTGACATTTACCTACCTTACCTTGAGGTTACCAAGAGGTATTTTCGGGGCCAAGCCGTCGACCAGGCCTCCTGGTTGCTGGACTGGTCAACCAGGCTGTTGGACGGGGCTGTTCGACTCACTCCCCCCCCACCCCAGTCCATCTACCCCCCCCCCCCTCCTCGGTACCACGCCTCTCACTGTAATTACAGTGTCGAGGCTGGGGAGAGTGGCAGTGCTTCAGAGACCTACAGGTGGTCGGCCCGCGCCCCTGGGGAGTGTTGACCCCGACGCTCAGGTCAACCCAATACTGAACTGTCTGCCCCCCTGTTTCGCCTGTTGCTGCTCCCCGCGCACACACCCCCTCTGTCACCTCCCCGTAGGCCACACCCTCCCCTGTAGGTGCTTCACCAGGCCACACCCACCCCTGTAGGTGCTTCACCAGGCCACACCCACCCCTGTAGGTGCTTCACCAGGCCACACCCACCCCTGTAGGTGCTTCACCAGGCCACACCCACCCCTGTAGGTGGGCCACACCCACCCCTGCAGGTGGGCCACACCCACCCCCTGTAGGTGGGCCACACCCACCCCCTGTAGGTGGGCCACACCCACCCCCTGCAGGTTAACTCCTGCTCACCTGCGGCCAGCAGTCCTGGCCCCACTTAGCGACCATTGTAAGGAAGGCGTGCGATAAAGACCTTTGCTAACGACATAGACAACACTAACAAGCCAATCCAACACTACTCAAAGTATATCAAAACTATCTATATCAATATACACACAAAAATATATCAATATATCATGCCACAAATTAAAGCACTACGCAAGACGAATTGTTTCTCTCCATTCGCTATAACGCACTAAAAATATCCGTAAGTATCAAATGGAGTAAAGTTGTTGAGAGTGTAAGTATATATGGATGTATAACGGAGTATGTCGACCTACTGTGTGAGATATACTCCACGGTGTATTCTACAGTAGGTGCAGAACAGCTGGGTGTGCAGCAGAGAGATATTATGTGTAGATCAATGCACATAACACGACACAGCATGTTATGCTGGGTCGAAAACACAATAGATCCTGTGGTGCTGTAGTCACAATAGATCCTGAGGCGCTACAGTCACAAAAGATCCTGTGCTGCTACACCATCACAATAGATCCTGTGTTCCTGCAGTTACAATAGACCCTGAGGTGCTACACCGTCACAATTGATCCTGAGGTGCTACAGTCACAGGTTATCACACAAACATATACAACAGCTCCGTTGGAACCCGTCTCAAATCCACCAGCAGAATTCGGAAAATTTAAATCTAAATAGTAAACTTAATAAATAAGAAGTAATGAACCACGACCCCACAGAAAAAAGGAATTAAGTCTAGGTGAAGAGTGCCAACATCAATCAGTGCCTTGAGAGAAGAGGCACAGTGTGCTCACGTCACATAACATTACGAGAAAGGAAAGTAAAGAGCGACAATGATAAAGCTCCCTGTCGAAGGGAGAGGGGAAAAAAGATCACAGAATCGCTCCTCTGCTTCAATCTTTCAGGAACAAGAAAGGCTTTGACAGGAGACAGTAGGTACTGTAGAATCGTAGCTTCCGTGAATGGCTCTTAAGACCCTCTTACGGGGTACTGTGCGTGCTCCGGTAGTCTCTCATATACCGGACAAAGACAAGCACACACACACTATAGTACCGTATCATGTTGACCCATGATCCAGGCTACGAACAGCTGCGTCTAAGCGCCTGGCTGATCAAACCACCAACCAGGAGACCTGGTCAGAGACCGGACCGTGGGGACTTTGATCCCCGGACCCTGCACAAGGTAGGCCAGGAAAGCCAGGCTGTTAAGACGCCGCTAAACGCATTCCCGACACACAGGTGCACGTGGCTGTTGAGGTCCCCACCTGTAGCGTCCAATGACCATCAGAGGGGTGGCGCCCCCTTCCTCCAGACAACACCTCTACTCCATCCTCACTCCACTTCTTCAACCACTGCTCCTATAAACGATATAGATATATTACGGAACCCTCTCCAGGTATATTAATCACCACACCACGCCTCTTGGCTTACCATTTGGTCACCATTTGGTCCGGGAGACATCTCCCGTCACGCAGGGTGCAGTCGCACCTCCACAGATCTCCAGTATCAGCTCCTGATACTGGTAATGGCTCAAAAGGGGCCACCACTTACGGGCTATTCATGCCCGTGCCACCTCTTGGGTGGCTTAATCTTCATCAATCAATCGCCTCTTGGCTCTTATTTCCACGAGGCATTCATGAAGAGAACGTGTGTGCAGGCGTGCACGCTCCCGTGCATGCTCCGTGCGTGATGATGCTTCCGTGCAAGGGGCCACTTGGCACCATGCGCGCCCCCCATGTAGCGCACAGTGCCAAGCGTGGGTCATGCGCTCCCAGACCACGTGGGGCGTGCGTCCAGATATGCTCAGATTTCGACGACGTGTTTGGCTACTGTGCAAGTGGCCATGTGTGCAACACACACACGTGACACTGGGGGGACATCTTGCACACACCTGCCGGGGTCCTTGCAACCCTTATCTGCACACTTATAGGAGGTAAGATCGCAGTATCGCTAAGTAGTAAGGCTTCACCTCATAGCAGCTAGTCCTAGAGTCACCTGATCTAAGACTCTAAAAGTGCTGATCTTGTGGTAGTTCCGAAGATCAATCTCCTCGCTGCCTGATCTGTGACCAGGCCTTCAGGTTGGTAGTCTGGTCAACCAGGCTGTGGTTCTTAGGTCCAACTTGGAGCTGAGGGCACGAACAGTCTGACAGAGCACAACCATCAACCTCCAGGAAGTCTCTCGTGTTTGAGTGATGCCAGTCTATTATCTTAGAGGGCAAGAAAACTAATGCTTCACGCAACATGGGTTTGTAATGGCTGGATTCCAGGAGGGTGACATCATTGCGGACCATAGGGCCAGATTCACGAAGCAGTTACGCAAGTACTTACGAACGTGTACATCTTTCCTCAATCTTTAACGGCTTTGGTTACATTTATTAAACAGTTTACAAGCATGAAAACTTGCCAGTCAACTGTTGTTATTGTTATAAACAGCCTCCTGGTGCTTCGGAGCTCATTAACTGTTAAATAATTGTAAACAAAGCCGCCAAAGATTGAGAAAAGATGTTCACGTTCGTAAGTGCTTTCTTAACTGTTTTTTTTTTTTTTGAGATATATACAAGAGTTGTTACATTCTCGTACAGCCACTAGTACGCGTAGCGTTTCGGGCAAGTCCTTAATCCTATGGTCCCTGGAATACGATCCCCTGCCGCGAAGAATCGTTTTTTCATCCAAGTACACATTTTACTGTTGCGTTAAACAGAGGCTACAGTTAAGGAATTGCGCCCATTAAATCCTCCCCGGCCAGGATACGAACCCATGACATAGCGCTCGCGGAACGCCAGGCGAGTGTCTTACCACTACACCACGGAGACTGCTAGTCTCCGTGCTTCGTGAATCTGGCCCCACGAAGGCCAAGCATGAGGGCGCTCGCTGATCTTATCCTCCCCACCCACAGGCAGCCCTCGATGCTAGCAAGCCTTCGGGACGTTTGTTCTCACCAGGTGCCTGGTTGATGGGGTTCTGGGAGCTCTTCTACCCCCCAAAGACCTGGCGCGAAGACCTGACTCTGCGTCCCCTGGTCCTGATACATCGACCACCACCACCTGCGGCAAATATTCGTACCCGACTCGAGTGCCCAGAAGCGGGAACGAACTGTAAGTAGCACTTGTGAAAGCCGCCTCCATCTATAATTTTTTAAACCTAGATTCGACGGAGAATTCGAACGCGTGAACAGTTAAATTATAAGACAACAGGTACAACAAGGCTAGTAGAGTGGGTATGAAGAGCTAGACCTCACTTTCCCGTACACATTAATAGGCAAGTTTTTACATTCTTGTAAAGCCACTAGTACGCGTAGCGTTTCGGGCAGGTCCTTAACCCTAATTTCCCCGGAATACGACCCCGCGGAATCGTTCAACAACCAGGTACCCATTCACTGCTGGGTGAACAGAGGCTACAGTTAAGGATTGGCGCCCGGTCAATCCTCCCCGGCCAAGATTCGAACCCAAGGCAAGGCGCTTGCGAAACGCCAGGCGAGTATCTTACCACTGCGCCACGGAGACTGCTATACTCTTCTATAAGAGTGGCGCCAGCAACTCGTTTGAACATTTCACCCCATAACTCAGAATGGTTATGGCGTGCATAACAAACGAAGATTAATCACCTGACAACACAGCCTGGTGAGTCCCACACACACACACACACACAAGCCCACCAAGGCGGCGGCCATGGAGGCATCAGAAGGGTGTAGGAGAGAGAGAGGGAAGTAATTCCTTAGCTTGCCTCTTGATTCTGGTGTCCCACAGCACCCCTCTTGACACTGGTGTCTCTAAGCTTCCCTACTGACTCTGGTGTAAGTAAACCCAACAAGCAGGGAGGGAGGAAAGAGTGAGAGCGTGGAAGGGACTGACTGGAGGAATGGAAACATGCTAGTGAGAGAGGGTAACATGATCTGGCACAATATAAATTCAAATAACCTTTTCGTTTAACAATTCTCTCCCGACTCGTCGAGAGAAAGTGAAACTACGAGACAGGTACGAGGCCCAGGATGGAAGAGTCTAGGTCGACGGAGCACCACACCCCCCCCCCCTACCACACGAAGGCTGTGGGACCAAGGAATAGTGGTCCATGTCTCTACTCCTCGTGAGCGTAGAGTAGAGACATGGAAGCAAAGATCAACAATACTCACCCTTAATAATGGCCCTGGAAGGGGTGAGAGATGATGGTACTCACCCTAATGGTCCTGGAGGGGTGAAGGATGATGGGTGTGGCGGTGTTGAGCATGGGGGGCACCTTGCGGGTGGCGGAGGGCTGGATGGAGGGGGTGTGGAGCACAGTGGTGTGGCTGGTGAAGGCGTGTGTGGTGGCGGGTGTGGCCTGCAGGAACACGTGGTGCAGGATGGGTGTGGCGTATGACACCGCCCGCGTCCGCACCACCTCGGCCCCCTCCACCAGCGTGGCCCTGCCCGTCTGCCCGTCCACTATGGCAGTCATGCCCTCACCCGCCGCTACCCCGCCACCCCCGTCACCCTCTACCGTCACCGTCAGTCTCTGGGTGGCGGCGTGGGGGCGCAGGACGGTGGTGGTGCCGTCCGCAGCCTCCAGGACGGTGGCGCCATCCTCACGGCTGTATAGTGTGGTGGTCCCGCCTCCACCCACCACCACCACCTCCCCACCAGAGGAGCCCCTCTCGCTGCTGGCCACGCCCCCCTCCTCGTCGTCGTCGTCGTCATCGTCCTGACGGTGTGGAAGCCACAGGTGGTGGGTGATGGAGCGAGCGTCCCCGCAGGCGGCCTGCCCACCCCCACACTCACCTCCCCCACCTTCACTCATCATCACACTGGAAAAAGAGAGATATAATATCAGTCAAAATACACTTCTATACACACATACAACAATACACATACCTGGGAGGGTTCCCAGAATTCTCTTACTCCCCGAGCCCGGCCTAAGGCCAGGCTCGACTTGTGATAAACTGGCCCAATCGAAGACTTAATTTACTATGCCTGCAGTTTTTCAGTGTCTTCTACAGAGGAGATTTTCATGCTGATTATTCTATCGTCTGTGAAGGATGACACAAAACTGTGACAAGTATTTTTGGTCTATATCCGAGGTCAGAATGAGACATAGCAGCTGCGTAAGGACTGTGTTCTGGGGTACAGAGCTTTTCACTGCACTTGGGTTTGATCTTGATTCACCGTCACACACTGCATTCTGTTTGACAGGAAGTTGAAAATCCAACGCCCCACTTTATCCGTTATTTCCATTGACCTCATTTTGTGTGCTATCACACCATGGTCACATTTGTCGCATGCCTTTGCAAAGTCTGTGTATACAACATCTGCATTTTGCTTTTCTTCTAAGGCTTCTGTGATTTGTCATAGTTTTTAAGTACCTGTGACAGGCAGGATCTTCCCGCTCTAAATCCATGTTGTCCTGGGTTGTGTAGTTCATTATTTTCCATAAAACTAGAAATTTTATTCCTAATCACTCTTTCACAAACTTTTATTATGTGTAATGTTAGTGCAACTGGACTCTAATGGTTTGCCAAGGCTTTACTACCCCCCTTGTGCAGAGGAGCTATATCTGCAGATTTAAGTGCCGCTGGTATCTCCCCTGTATCCAGGCTCTTTCTCCATATTACACTGAGCGCTCGCGCTACTGGTACTTTACATTTCTTTATGAATATTGAATTCTATGAGTCAGGACCAGGGGCCGAGCGTTATGGGCGCATTGTCAGTTTCTCTTTCCAGGTCTTCCGAGTTTGTGTTAATATCCTTTATATTATCTGCAGCTTGGATGTCATTCATAAAGAATATGTCTGGTTCTTCAACTTTCATGTTGTTTATTGATGTGCTAAACATAGCCTCATACTGGCTTCTTAGAATTTCACTCATTTCTTTGTTGTCCTCTGTGTACGTACCTTCAGTTGTAATTAAAGGTCCAATACTGGTGGAAGTTTTTGATTTTGCGTATGTGAACAAATATTTTGGATTTTTCTTTATCTCTTGTATAGCTTTCTGTTCAAATTCCATTTCCTCAGACTCGTATGATCGCTTCAACGTCTGCTCTATTTCTTCGATCTCTCTGTTTAGATTTATTTTCCTTTCTTGTGATAGTCATGTCTATTTAAGCATTTCCGTGGATTTTGTTCCTTCTGTAGAGTCGTCTGCGTTCTCTTCTTAGAGTGGTCCTCTTTCTGCCCCTCCTCACAGGCACGTGCCTCAGACCTTGTATGCTTCAGCTGTCAGTTGAGCTATTCCCTCAACCCGTTCTCACAAATTTAATAAGTCAATATTGACTTATTAGTTGCGTGCATAGGTGACATACTTAACATAATAGTTTCCCTTGAAAAGCTTCATAGAAAACACCGACCTTACCTAACCTACTTAGTATGTTAAGATAAGCATCTTATTGCTTCGTAATTACAATTATTACCTAACCTATACCTATAATAGGTTAAGTAACAATTGTAATTACGAAGCTATAAGATGCTTATTTTAACATACTAAGTAGGTTAGGTAAGGTCGGTGTTTTCTATGAAGCTTTTCAAGGGAAACTATTATGTTTAGTATGTCACCTATGCACGCAACTAATAAGTCAATATTGACTTATTAAATTTGTGAGAACGGGTTGATTCCCTGTGTGGGAGTTTTGTCGCTGAAGACAAATCTCCCATTGAATGATTGCAAGAGCTACATTTGTTTTTTTTCCAGTCGATCTTGTTATAGTTAAAATTGAATTGATTGAATAACCCTTCTCGCTTGTTAGGTCCCACTTAGACCTACTACCGTTATTATTGTTAGTTTGCACTTCAATGAGCTTATGGTCTGAGTATCTAGTATCTGAGATTGTAATGTGTCTGATTAGCTCATCATTGTTTGTGAATATGAATATCATTGTCCAGCGTGTTTTCGTTCCTAGTTGGTTCTGTAATCTGCCGATTGAGCGAGAATTTGTCACAGAATCTTAGCAGTTCTCTGACCTGTGGCCCTAGACCAAATACCCTGAACACATCTTGGGGGGATAATTTCTATATTCGAGGCTATTTCGATACACAATTTAAAATATAAAAATGACGAGAAAAAGAATAAAAAAAAAATCCCTACATTGAACAGCTGCCAGGCAAGACGCCCCACATTTGACTGAGGACTTTACTACACAAAAATATATGAAGATGATATATAATCCATATATGGATTATATATCATATCAGCACAAATATCTTATCAGCAAAAAGTTATTTAATAATTAATTAATCAGCGCACAGTACATCAACGAACACAACCAGTTCAACATTAGTAATTCGTTGTACCTTTCCAGAGTCCACCACTACCGTGACCACACACTAGTGACCCGAGGTGCACCTGGTCAGGTCATGTCAACCACCAGTGACCTGGTTTACCAACAAGACGCGCACAGGTCAATCTGTACAGGGATGTAACAGTTTCCTTTCGTCTAGCCTCACGAGCCAGGATGGAGGGGACGTGTGTAGCGTTGTGGAGGCTGGGGGACACAGCAGCACCTGTGTGGAGGCTGGGGGACACAGCAGCACCTGTGTGGAGGCTGGGGGACACAGCAGCACCTGTGTGGAGGCTGGGGGACACAGCAGCACCTGTGTGGAGGCTGGGGGACACAGCAGCACCTGTGTGGAGGCTGGGGGACACAGCAGCACCTGTGTGGAGGCTGGGGGACACAGCAGCACCTGTGTGGAGGCTGGGGGACACAGCAGCACCTGTGTGGAGGCTGGGGGACACAGCAGCACCTGTGTGGAGGCTGGGGGACACAGCAGCACCTGTGTGGAGGCTGGGGGACACAGCAGCACCTGTGTGGAGGCTGGGGGACACAGCAGCACCTGTGTGGAGGCTGCGGAACACAGCAGCACCTGTGTGGAGGCTGCGGAACACAGCAGCACCTGTGTGGAGGCTGGGGGACACAGCAGCACCTGTGTGGAGGCTGGGGGACACAGCAGCACCTGTGTGGAGGCTGGGGGACACAGCAGCACCTGTGTGGAGGCTGGGGGACACAGCAGCACCTGTGTGGAGGCTGGGGGACACAGCAGCACCTGTGTGGAGGCTGGGGGACACAGCAGCACCTGTGTGGAAGCTGCGGAACACAGCAGCACCTGTGTGGAAGCTGCGGAACACAGCGGCATGGAGGGAGGCTGTGGTACCTGGTCCAGGACTGGCAAATGACGCGAGCAGCTCCAAACGTTGTCCGTCCAGTGACAGCAACGCCCTCAGGCGGTGACGCTCGGCCTACAACGGGATTGCCCGCCAACACACACACATTGCCACTTAGTGAAGCAATGGGTGGAAAGGTGGGTGTGGAGAGGGCGGTAGTGGGCGGAACACGTGCGGCAGGTGTCCAGGTGGCAGCCCGTGTGCTGCCACACCGCTGCCCAGACGACAGCGTCCCGTGTTGCTTGGCAACGTATAAACAACATGGGAGTAGGGCAGCCCGCACAGACCAGAGTCGCGCCACTCTTCCCTTCACCCTTGGCTCCTGCACCCTCACGCCTCTAACGAACCAGGAGGCGGCCGGCAGCCTGGCCTCCGGCCTCCATACCATATACCTGCCACACACACATAGCGTGTGCAGGAGGCCTGGGACGCATACATCATGCGTTCACACACAGCCAACATAGTATAACAGCAGGCGGTAGTGACCTGTAGCGCCTGTGAGTGGGGCTCTCTGCGCAGCCCTCCCCACCCCCCATATTCCCCCAGCAGCAGCAGGCGGGCACTATAAACATAGCTCACCCCACTTAACATTTGCCTCCATACAACAACGCTCTACTTCTCCCTATTCACAAATACCACGTAGCATCATACCTACGAAGTAGGTTTCCGGGCCGACGCCCCCCATCCCATCCCCGGAAAGTTACGCATGTTAGTGACTTTGCAAAGAATGTACCAACCGTCGAAATATGCATGTTTACAACCCACTGTACCTTCTTGTACGTAAAACAATAAGTAAACGTGGTCTACAACCCAACCGAAAAATTAACATACAAAATGATCAAGAGGACATTGATCAAGAGGACATTGGACATTGATCAAGAGGACGGGCTGCCTACACAGCCTACTTACTGACTCAGATTCTGTAGCAGCAGGCGCGCGACATTGACACCCGCCAATACTAGGCTGCCGTCGCCAGTCACAGCATTGGACGACACTTGTACCCTGGTAATTAAACCCCCCACGTTACAGGTGGACGGCCACAGCCTCAGTGTCACATTCCAAGACATTTAACACATTCCCATGACACTTCTCAGGCTGGTTTACAAGACGGGACGGAGGGAGGGAAGAGCAACGGAGTGCCGGACCAACCGGGCTGTGGTGGGTATGTGGGCCTGCGGGCCGCTCCAAGCAACAGCCTGGTGGACCAAACTCTCACAAGTCAAGCCTGGCCTCGGGCCGGGCTTGGGCAGTAGAAGAACTCCCAGAACCCCATCAACCAGGTAGCAACAAGAAAAATACGAACTGAAGTATAGATATTACAGGAAAATTTTACGCGGAATAGGAAGTGAAAGGAAGGGAAGTAGGGGAAAGAAAGGGAAGTAGGAAGGAAGGATGGGAAGGAAAAAGCGGAAGGAGGAGAGAGAAGAAGAGCAAGATTTATATGAAAAGAGGGGAAAAAAACTAGCAGGAGCAGCTCCAGGACAGTATTGAACGCAAACTCTCCATTTTCATTATGAATAATTAGTTAGGACTTTAGGACCAAGCACAGTGCCGCAGCCTGGCCAGAGTACCAATTACCCCCAACCCCCCATACCCCTACAACCAACAACACTGCACGCAAGCACGCACGCAAGCACTCACACACGCGGGTCGCCCC